CAGGGATAAGCGCTGCCACCACACACATCCTTCCAGACACAGGACCCTCCCACGCCACATGTCAGAGTAGGACAAACTCTGAATAAACGGGGGACACTGAGAGGAACAGTTCTCCAGGTCACCCAAGGAGCAGATCAAGGAGGAGACCCAGAACTCTCCCCATGCCCCATAAATCCCAACCTGTCCTGCCTCTCGTTCTGTTTTCCCTAGCTTCCAGGACTCTTAGGTCTCTTTCCAGAACATCCCACACCCACCACAGCCCGTAGGGCTCAGCTCAGCATTTTGTAGAGACTTCTGCACCTTTCTAAGGTGGGCATTCAGTGAGCAAGAAGTTCATGGTGTATCACCCACTTGACACATGGGGAATCCAAGGCATAGGCAGTTTTAAGAACCTTGCTCAGGGCTGGCCAGCAGGCTAGCATAAGCCCTGGCTGGAGCCTGGTCTCCCCAAGGTCCGGCACTGTTCCAGCAGTTCAGTACCAGCCCTCTGCCCCTTTTCATTACGCCCAGAAGACATGCCCAGAGAAGGGCCTTCTACCCATTTGATCCCCAAGGTCCTGGTGGTAAAGAGAGGGCAGACTCACCCCCAGCAGCCGGAGGGGGCTTCTTGAGAAGCCAGAGGCTGCCTCGCTGAAGAGCAGAGCCAGGACAAGGCAGGGCCACCAGGTAGACGCCATTGCTGAGCAGGCAGGCCTGGCCCGCCCTCCTTATATTAGCCAGTCCGGTGTTTTCCGAGCAGGGTCAGTGACCTGCACCTTGGGGCTGGAGCAGAGAAGGCCGGAAGCTCCTCTGGCAAATGGTGTGGGTGGATGTGTCTGTATGAAGAGGGCCCCGTGGGCACTGACAGGGTTGGGACTTCACTCCTGACAGGCCAGGGACATAGAGGCCCCCAGAAAAGCAGAAATCGTGTTGACAAACAGGCCCTGGGCCTTCACCATGGGGGTGATGGGAGACAGGGTGTGGAATTCCATTGAGAGCAAAAGGCATCTATCTCAGCATCGCAGCCCCTTGTCCTCACCACTTGCAGGAACTCTGGTCTGATGCCTGGATCATAGCCCTGCTCTTTGCAAGGCAGCAGGGGCATAAAACCAGACCATCACCTTTAAGCTCAGACCTCCGTGGCTGAACCCCTTGCTCATTATCCTACTGTGGTTCTCAGGGTGTTAGGTAGGAGCTAGCAATGAGCAGTGAAATGCATCTAGGTCACGTGTTCATTAAATGACTTAGGGTCTGCTTTAAATTACTTCCAAAGTAAACGAGAAAGCAAAGGGTGGTAGTTAATTTGGAGAAAATAAACAGAAGCAAGGGAGCTAGTTGAAAATCACATCAAGAGAATAGGATGAATGGGACTAACTCTTGACAGGGCCCCCTGAGGTTGGTGTGAAGTTAGGAATTATGGCTATAAGTGTCTCCAATTGTCTGGGAAGGAGGATTCCTTTAGTAGCACAGGGACACTAAGGTAACTTCTGACCAGCTACTTGACCCCAGTGCCTGCATTAACTTGGGATTGACTTGTGGATGAAGCCCCCCTAAATAGGATGGCCACCATGACAGTTCCGCAGAGGACCAATTAAGGTCAAAACCTCTATCACCCAATGGGAAGGAGGAGTTGAATGCCTGATTGGCAAAGAGTGCAAAAGGTGGCAAAAAGTACTAAATGTTCTCCTGGTAGACATCAAACAGTAATAAATTTGGGGACGGCATTGTCTCCTTTGTCATTCTGTGCTTGGAGATGGCCACTCTCTCTCTTGAGAGTGCTCTCTGTTTGAGCCTCACTTGGCTTTTACTTTCACCTGTAATAAAGTTCTCTTGCATGGATTTTGGTGGCTGACTTTTAAATTTTCTTTCGTGGGAACACAGAGCTGAGTTTTGGAGTTTTAGCTCCCTGCTTTCCTATAGCAAGGACACCAGGAAAAGAGCAAATCCCAAGTCCTGTGGCCCAGTTCTCCCTGGGATTTGTCTCTAATTTGCTTTTCTGAACTTACTCTTCTTCCACTGGAATGCCCTCTCTTTCGCTGCATATGGCATCCCTCATCTTCCTGCCAGCCTCAGGACTTCTCCTTCAGGAACCTTCCTCCCTCTTCTCCTAATGGGCTACAGGACAGCCATGTCCCAAGCTCCAAGCTCCTTGAAGGCCCACCTTGTATTATGGCAAGGTTTATGTGCTCAGGTCTGACGATCTCTTTGGACCCATGTCATCATGATCCACTTGGCGCTCCCAGGGCTCAGCCAGAGAGACTGGATTTCCCTTGGCCTCTTGGGGAGTCATTCCTCCAAAGGCCACCAGTGAGGCTGGGGCTCTGGCATCCAGGACAATGGGAGCTTCAGAGGCAGGACTTGGACTCTCCCAATGGGGGCTGGGACCTCCTGAGCTACACTAGGGCCATGCTGGTCCCCAGTCCCTTAGGGGCAGCTGCCCCAAGTCCAGCATCCTCATGGCTTCTCTGAGTGAAGCTGACCCCATGACTCTCCCCCTTGGCCCATTGCTGAATGGAATAGACAGGGACACTTGCACAGAGGACAGCTAACTTATGGATGTTCCCATGGCCTTGGCCAAAAGTTCTGGGACTGACTGTGAGATGTACAGAGACAGTTGGTTGCTGGGAGCAAGGAAGAAGGCAGGAAGCAGAAATTATGTGGCAGGGGATGACACAAGGAGGCCATAGACTAATGACTGGAAGTGGCAGGAGCCATGGAACAATGACAAAGAGTTGGCAAGTCAGCAAAATGATGGTAGAGTGACAGATGTAGCTGCCGAGAGGTTACTGTTCATGCTGAGGCCTGGCTGGGCAGCGTCTGCTCTCCTCCGGTCTCCTAAATCTTGACGCTGACCCCCACTGGCAGTGGGCATCAAGTGCAGGCTGGGAGCCCAAACCCAGCCGGCAATCAACACCTGGAGATGCAGAGGAGAGCCCAAGAGCTGCAATTAAACCTTCTGTTTGTGTGGTCATTTTTAGCAGCTGTGGTCACAGATCACTGTGGGGCGGGATTGGGGCAGGACTGTTGTCTTGCTCACATTACCCAATGGTTCCTTCTCAATGGCTCCACAGCTGATCACAGAGTTACTCTTAGCCTCCCTCATCTAAACCACTGGAGTTTTAAGAGAGGGACAATTCAAAATAGGGATTCTGCGGTTGTTTAAGAGGCCCTGAGAAGCCTGGCCTGGTGGTGCATGTCTGTAATCCCAGGCACTCAGGAGGCCAAGGCAGGAGGATCTTAAATTCAAGGCTGTCCTCAGCAACTTAATGAGATCCTATCTCAAAAACATGAAGAAAGCTGGGGATGTGGCTCAGTGATACAGCAGCCCTGGGTTCATCCCCAGTACAAAAAAAAAAAAAAGAAAAAGAAAAAAGAAAAGAAAAGAAAGAAAGAAAGAGAGGCCCCAAGGAATGACGGGGGTCTTGGAGGGAACCAGACCCATCATGCAAAATTTAGGGTTATACAGATTCTAAGAGCTCTTTAGGCTCACCTCATCTTCATTCTACATGAGGGGAAGAGGAGGCCCAAGTTGGGCAGGATGATGACAGAGCCACCTTTGCCCCAGTAAGAACCAAGTTCCAACAGGCTTTGGCCGTCTGCCTTTCAGCAGCCCTTGAGAAACCCAGGGCGCTGTGGAAGGTGAGCTGCTCTCTGAGCCTGTGTGGGCTTGCCCACCGCCTGCTCCTAAAGGGCTCTGAGTCCCCAGACCTGGGGCAGCCTTTTTTTTTTTTTTTTTTTTTTTTGGCACCAGAGACTGAACCCAGGGCCACTTAACACTGAGCCACATCCCCAGCCCTTTTTATTTTTTATTTGGAGACAGGGTCTTGCTAAATTGTTTAGGGCCTCGCTATGTTGCTGAGGCTGGCTTTGAATTGCAATCCTTCTGCCTCAGCCCCCTGAGCAGCTAGGATTACAGGTGAGAGCCACCGCACCTGGACTAGGGCAGCCTTGGACTTGTGCTATGGGACTCAATTTTTTTTTTGTGTGTGTGTGCTATTCATCTGGGCCCTCAAAACTCATCCTTGTCCTAGCTGGGCCCTTGCAGCCCTCATTTGTAGCAGGAACTGGACAGAAGCAGCAGAGAAAAAAGAAGAAGAAGCTGTTTGGAATGGAGTTGGTGGAGGCCCACCCACCTTCATGTGAAGGGTTAGTATGTGGGTTCGTCTCCTAGCACTCTGAGACATTGCATTTTGACTGGGTCGCCAGGCTGAGCCAAGGGAAGGAAGCCTGGTGAGGTAATTCTAGTCACCAGTATGAGGAAACAGAATGTGGGCCACAGACCTCAGGCCCCTGAATTCCCACCTTTGGCCAGTGCTTTTCTCTGCCTCTGGGAAATACCAAGCTGTCTGTCAGAGGTTGCCAATCCTCAGCAGGGAAATGGGGGTGAGGTGGAAGCCATGACCCCAATGGTGCAGCTTCCTGTTCTTGGTAGACTTCTTCGGGACCCCAACACTACCTGGAATCAGTTCTTCCAGATGTTCATTTTAAGTTATCTGGAACCAAGTCCCGACAGGCTTTGGCCATCTGCCTCCCAGCTGATGGGAGTATTCATGTGTGAGAGATGGCTGACGTAAGATAGCACTATTTCAAGTCCTAGACCTGCCTCTGGTAAGCTGAGTGACTCTGGACAGATTACTTAATCCTCAGTTTCCTCAGCTATAAATGGGCATGGTGAAATGTACTTAAAGAATTCAAGTAAATCATTCAGACAGTGCTTGGCTACAGGAAGCTCTCGATCAGCTGGGACATCCATGCTGCCAGATCATCCTTGGGTCCCTGAGTGTGCAGAGGGAGCTGTGTGCAAGAGTATGGGGGAGCACCCAGAGGGCAGAGCATAGAATCAGGCGGCTGCAGAGAACAGGCTGTGGTGGGTGGAGGCAGAGTGGATGGGGCTCCCCTCCCAGGCTCAGACCTGCTTTTCCTACCCCGGGATTTGCTGTGATCCCTGAGCCCTCCCAGGGAGGAAGCATGTCAGGTTGTTCCCTCGTTGTCCTCCTTCCCCAAAAGCAACCAGCTCTGGGTTGGACACAGCTTCTCTTTAATGGAAGTCTTAGGGTGGTTTGACACAAGGGATGAGCTTGCTCTAGGAGGTGTGGCAGATCAGGATGCTGTCTTCCTCCTCTGCCGTGGTTCCAAGGGAGGACTGGTGTGCTGGTGGGAGGGCTCAGAAGATGTCAGGGACGATATAGTCAGTGTGAGCTCCATCGATAAGTCCAGCTCCGTTGTCATGGACGAACCAGCAGGATACCTCTGCCCCGTGTCGGGGGTCCTTGCTGTAGTCTTTCTGCAAGCCTCTGAGGACGAACAAGTCAACTGGGGTCACTCTTAGAAACTGGTAAGGTTGTACCTCCCCCAGAAAGCTCTCCAACCCATGTGACACCTAGAGGAAGGCCCTGATCAATAAGAACAAATGAAAAGCAGCCAAGGGCAGGAGTGCTGGGGAGCAGCCCACCCACCTGGTGACTGTCAGCCGGCGGTTCTTCACCATCATTGTAGCATCTGACCTTGTGGGGTCAGAACCTGGGTGGATGTCAGACACTTCAAAATCAAGGGGGTGGAAGAATTGTCCTGGAAAGACACAGTGGAGGCAGCAGTTACTATCAGGAGGAGTGGATCCTGCTTTGATCGATTGTTGCTGATAAATCTTGGCATCGAAAGCCATCTTAGGGACTGGGGTAGTGGCTCACTGATAGGGCGCTTGCCTAGCATGTGAGGCACTAAGTTCGATCCTCAGCACCACACAAAAGTAAATAAAAATAAAGATATTATGTCCATCAACAACTTTATATATATATATATATATATATATATATATATATATATATATATATATATATATATATATATATTTTTTAAAGCCATCTTAGCTGACTTGTAGAGATGCAGATCTATCTATCTTCAGGTGGTCTTACTGGTGGAGGGGTAACTGGGGATTAAATCCAGGGCACTTAACCACTGAGCCACATCCCCAGCCCTTTTTAAAATATTTTATTTAGAGACAGGTTCTCACTCAGTTGTTTAGGGCCTCGCTAAGTTGCTGAGGCTGGCTTTGAACTCAAGATCCTCCTGCCTCAGCCTCCCAAGCTGCCAGGATTACAGGCGCGCCACCTCACCCAACTTGCCTCCTGTCTTTTTAACCAATTCCAATCTAACCCATCTGCCTGGGGAGAGAGGTTTGAGGGGCAGGTGCCCATAGAAGGCAGGATCAACAGTTGGCCACACAGATGGCAGTGTGGCTATGTGTCCACCCCACTCACAAGGTCCCTGGGAGCTCTCTGGGTCTTTCTGTTTGCTAACTGGAGCTCTCTCCTATCCTTGCCCCCAGGCTCACGTAGGTGTTGTTTCATTGTGGGTTGGATCACAGCCTGTTTGTGGGACAAGACCCTCACCAGGAAGGGAGGAAGGAAGGAAGGAAGGAGGGAGAGAATTTGCTGTTATTAAACCCCAGACATCATTTTCTTTTGGTACTGGGGATTGAACTCAGGGGCACTCAACCACTGAGCCACCTCCCCAGCCTCATCAGGATAGCCCGCCTGAACTCAAGCTGAGACCTGGATGCCATGTTGGAGATTGGCCTGTCTTGTTGGCCCAGGACCTAGAAGCACTCTGGCTTCAACACCCAGCACCCCCCCCCCGGCTCTGCCCGCCTGCCAGGCGTACCCAGCAGCCCATGTGTCCGAGCCGGCATCCGGTGACTATCCAACACATAGAAGCCCAGGAAGTCCCGTTGGACTGTACTCCCCCTCCACACTCGGTGCAGGACAACTTCAAAGGTGGCCCTGTCATCCATGGACACCACCAGGCTTCTCTTCTTGTTGATGGTCACCACTATCCTGCAGGGCCAGGTGTCCGTCAGGGCAAGAGCAGCTGCACTGCATCCCCCTCCATTCAGCTGCCCTTGCCCTCTGGGACCCAGCTCTTATGACCACCCCCCAAGGCCTTCACCCCCAGATGTTTGGGTGTTACTTGCTCCGTGTTTTGTGTTGCTCTTGCTCAAGGCTTCCAAGGCTGTGCCAACCCCTCTATGCAAACTGCATCATTCATTTCTCACTCTGATCTCCTGAGGACCAAGGCTCAGAGAGGTTAAGTAACGTGCCCAAGATCACAGTGCTGGTTAGCAGTGGAACCAGGACTCAGACACCAGCCAGTCTAATATCCGAGTCTGTGTCCTCTGACTCATCACCTGTGTCTTCCACCCCAGACTCACTCCACTTTTTTCTATAGCTCTGCTACTCAGAATCAGGCTCTGGTGCCCTGAAGAATTTGCTGAATAAATGAATGCGTGATGAAAGGGACAGTCATGTGACCAGGCAGATTGGGACAGGTACCAGATGGGAAGCCCAAGACAGTGCTGGGATTCAGGAGAACAAGAGAGTGTGAGGGCTTCAGGGAAGAAGTGGCTTCTGAGCTGGGAGGTGATCTGGCTTCGCTTGGTGGAGACCAGAGTGGAATTGAGTGTGAGGACTCCTTGGGAGCACGGGTGGCCGGGCAGCCTGGGCCAGAGTCATTGGAAGGTGCATGGAGTGTGACCTGCCTGCTTAGGCCCCACGGACATCACACTCCCTGACACTGCTTGGTGGATGTGGCATCTGTGGGCTCAGACAACACAGCTGGTGCTGGGCATTTTGGGCTTTGACCCATGTCACCTCCCCCGCCTCCCCTTCCAGTCTAGTTACCCATCCTGACGAAGCACAGCCTGGTCCCTCCAGGAGAACACGGGCCCACCCTCACCGGCGTTCAGCGTAATGTTCTGAGGGGTCACTTCTAGCTGAAATCCTGTGGCAGGGTTTGCGATGCCCAGTCTCCCAAAGTATGTGGCCTCGTGCTGCCCAGGGCTCCTGGCCTTGTCACCGATGAGCTGCCCGTTCACTGAGAAGCCTGTAGCAGGGTGGGGGCTGTCAGCCTTCACTCATGCTGTGCCTCCATCTTGGAGGCCCCCCACTCCACACACCCTTCACTGTCTGAGGGCCTCCCCTCCAGTGGGGGCTTTGGGACTGGTCCTGCTCACAGTCCCACCTTTTTCCTTCCCACTTTGCTCCCTGCCCCTCCAGCTGCACTAGATAGCCCAGACTTAGCTCTGGGCTCTGGCTCTGAAGGAAGCCTGCCTTCCTGAGGGCAGATTGTGGGCCTGCTCCTTCCTTGGTCTCAGGACCTCCCAAGCTCCCAGCAGGTGCTAAAAATATATTTGTAGAGCCTCTTCACAGAGGCCCAGCTCTCCATCCTCACCATTCCAACACTCTGAAATTATCATCTAGGAATTTGGAGACCTATTCTCTTTCTCCCTCCCCAAACCTCTATGAGGCCAGGGACAGTCTTGGTTCTGCATCCTCATCCCTTGTAAGTGCTCAACAAACACGGCAACTGGATTGACCAGACTAGGGGGGGGTGGTAAGGGCTGAGAGATGCCGGGCGTAGTGGCGCACTCCTGTAATCCCAGCAGCTCAGGAGGCTGAGGCAGGAGGACCACAAGTTCAAAGTCAGCCTCAGCAATTTAGTGAGACCCTGTTTCTAACTAAAATATAAAAAGGGCTAGGGATGTGGGTCACTGGTTAAATGCCTCTGGGTTTAATCCCTGGTACAAAAAAAAAAAAAAAGAGCCAAAACATGGAGAGGGAGGCTATCCCCATCACCCAGCAGGGCTGGAGAGATGCACTTTGGGGGCCCCATATAGCCATGCTGGGGGAGTTGGGGCTGGACCCCCATGTAATTTGCAGAACCTCATATGAGATAAAAATGAGGGGCTTTTTGCTGGGCACGGTGGTGCACGCCTATCATCCCAATGGCTTGGGAGACTGAGGCAGGAGGATTGCAAGTTCAAAGCCAGCCTCAGAAACTTAGTGAGGCCCTAACCAACTCAGCAGGACCGTATCTCAAAAATAAAAAATGGGGGAAGGTGATAGGAATGTGGCTCAGTGGTTGAGCACCTATATTCAGTCCCCAGTATCAAAAAGAAAAAGAGAGAGAGAGAGAGAGAGAGAGAGAGAGAGAGAGAGAGAGAAAGAAAGAAAGAAAGAAAGAAAAGGGCTTCTCATTTAAAAATGGTTAAGGATTTCAAGACAGTAAGAGCATTAAACCAAGTATGAGACCCTTCTAAGTCTATGTCCTATGCTCCTGGGTGGGTCACAGATCTATGAAGCTGGTCCTATGTGGGGTCCTGCCAGGGGGTGGAGAAGAAAGCAGGCAGAGCCCAGAAAAGTGGAAGAAGGTGCACAGGGCAGTGGGGTCTATGGCAGCAGTCCTAACCGTGGTCGAATGTGGAGTGTGGAGGAGCCTGACCCTGCCCTCTCTGGCAGATGGCATGAGAGTCACCTGTGTCCGGGTCCTGTACCAGGCTCAGGATCACGCCAGGTTCCTCATTGATGTTGAAGCACAAGGCATCCTCTTTCTGGGGCACGTGGATGATGAAGTGTGGGTCAGTGTCCACTGGGAACACAGCATGGAGGCATTAGATTGGGGATCAGGCAGGAAGTGTTCAACTAGGCAAGTCCCAGAGACAGATGGGCCAGTCGGGGTCACCCCTCCAACACTCCCAAGGACTCACCACCCGTCACTTGGTTTGGCAACTCCTGGAAGTTGGGGCTTGAGCGAGTCGGGGAAGGCTGGGCAGCGGACAGCACGAACACTGTGGGCGAGAGAGTGTCGGCACTGTGGAGGGAGGTGACCGGGCCTTCCTGGAGCTGCCAGTCACTTTGCTAATGACCTCCCCTAAGGCGGGCTGGCCTGAGGCCACAGGAGTAGGGTGACCTCAGAGCATCAAGTGCCCTCATTTGCCTCTTGGGTTATAGGGACAGAGGTTTGGCCCGGGATGGTGGGCTAGCCCCCTGGGTCTCCTCCCACAGGTTGGGGAAGCCAGGCCCTCGTCAGGGGGACTGTTACAGGGACTGTTCTAGGCATTGAAGAGAGTGGAACGGGTGATACTCCAGAGGCTTTTCTCAGCCAGAGGGCCAGCAGTGTGAGGAAGAGGTAGAGACGTGTCTCCAGGATGGCTGCCACTTACTCCTTCTGGGTCCCAGCATCTCTGAGGAAGACAAGGACAAAGAGGACAGTGTCACCATGGAGCTCCACATGCACGGGCACCAGGCTCAGTCCACAAGTGCACCCTGGGCCCAGAGATGATTCAGGCCAGGGACCAGTCCTACTGGGGGTCTTACTCCTCCCCAGGTGTCCCCCACCTCCTCAGAGATGCATGCTTGTGCAGGGGGGTGGGGGACCTCACTGGAGGTGGATGCAGGGGCTCCCAGGGTGCAGCCATGAGTTGCAGTGAAGTGGTGTCTCAGGGGAAGGAAGGAGCTTGGAAAGGGGTGGGGTCAGGGAAGGGGTGGGTATGGGCAGCTGCGGGCTTGGGGCTGGAGCACGTGCCACCTGCCCAGCCATGGGAAGTCCTGCACTAAAACCAACACGATTTCAACTCACCCAAGGGCTGAGAATCTGGAAGGGAGGGAAAAAAGAAGAGAATTAATTAAAACCCGGGAGTTTTTCGGCCCAGAGACTCCCCCTCCCCGGACACTGCTCATACCCTCCTCGGCCTTGTCAATGATGGGCTCCAGCCCTTCCTGGTCCTTCATGCCTCGCATGGTCATGGAGGTCAGTGGGGTCACAAACTGATAGTCCAGTGACATCTTCAGGATCTCGGATGACAGCTTGTTCTTCTCCTCCCCTTCCACCATCATCCTGTAGGGCAAGACAGAGGTTGGCTCCAAGACCCCAGTACAGGCCATAACAGAGCTGCATTCCCTCTTCCTTCCATCAGTGGTTCGCTCATTCATTCATTCATTCGACAAACATCAAAAATCTGTCGTTCCCTGTTCAGTGGTTGTGGCACTGGGGACTTCCGGGTTTCATGAACAGCCAGAGGGGGGAACTCTGGAGATTGACAATGTTGAGAGGTATGTCTTGGAGATACATAGAGAATTTAGCAGCTAGTTTAATTTCTTTGAGCCTCTGATTGCTCATCTTTTTAAATGAGGATAATAAGGGAATTCTCTCATGTTTTTTTTATTTTTGTCTTTTTGTTTTTGAACCAGGAATTGAACACAGGGGCGCTTGACCACTGAGCCACATCCCAGCCCTTTTTAATATTTTATTTAGCGACAGGGTCTCACTGAGTTGCTTAGGGCTTCACTAAATTGCTGAGGCTGGCTTTGAACTCATGATCCTCCTACCTCAGCCTCCCAAGCTGCTGGGATTACAGGCGTGCACCACCGCGCCAGGTTCCCCCAAAGGTTTTGAAGACTAAATGAGTGTGTTTAGACACTGCACAGCCCCACAGTCAACAGCAGCCTCCGCCAAGGCAGCTCAATGAGGTAAACAGCAGGCCGCCTGTCCCCCAGAGGGCCCACCCACACTATTGACCAACTGGTTGATATTAACTCATTAAGCAAAGCAAGAGGAAAGTAAATGTGACCGCTTGTACCCTGAAGGCCCAGAACTTCCCCTTCTCTGTTTGTAAGACATGGGGGGCCCTAGGGTGAACAGTTCCCACTCCTGGCAGCTGCAAGGGTCCTACCTCTTGGCCAGCAGCTCCTGGATGGTGAGATAGGCCCAGAGGCGCTCAACGTGGTTCTCCAACATGTGGCCACGTTCTTGGAGCAGTTTCTTCATCTCTTCCTCATCCACTAGGCAGGTTGTCTTGAATTCTTGTCCCTCCTGAGGGTTGGAATAGGGAGAGAGGCCATGAGCCATGATGAGCACGACACTTCACTGGTGTCCAAGGCTCTGAGCGCCCCACGGTCACCTCTGGAGTTTCACTGTCAACATCCTCCTCTTTCCCGAGCCTATTCTTGTCTTCATCCATTCATTCATTCAACCACCATCTGGGAACCAGGCTGGGCCTAGGCTCTGGGATCCCATAGGATGGGAGAACCAAGCCAGCAAACACCCAGCTGTTTCTACTAAGATCTTCTTCTCCAAGTTCAAGGTGGGCTGCCCGTGCAACATGCCATAGCACACAAGTAGGTCTTCTCTTCCTGGGTACAATTATGGGGTCCACCCTCCAAGGGTCTCCTATAGACCAGGCACTGCATAAGGATATCCCATGGACTGTTCCATTTGTCCCCTACAATACTCTGTGGCAATGTTACCACCATGGTACCAAAAAGGAAACTGAGGCCTAGAGGGCTGGATTCACTTGCCCAAGGTCACCCAACTGGTCAGGGCAGAGCCAGGGACCAGTTTGGCTCTCCTTTCTCAAAGCCTGAATTCTGAACCCTTAACTGCACTGTGGGCTGGAGTCCATGCCCTGGAAGGCAGGGTCCAGGACTCAAACACCTGTGACTTCTTCTAACATACCTGGGCACATGTATGTCTATACTACACCATGGCACAAAACCTGGAACACAGTAGGTATTTGGGAAATTGTTCTCAAGTAAGAAGAGAGAAGCTGGCCTCTTGCTCTCTCATAGCCTTGCAGGAATGAGGTGAGCAGTCACAGGTGCTCCATTTGGGGCCTAAGAGTTATAGCTAATCTAGGCCACATTGACCCCATTCCAGCCTGTCTAGCCCCCAGGCCTGGGGTGTATGTGGCATGCAGAGGGTGCATGCCTCTTTTCTCTGAGGAAAGAGACGCCCCCAGGAGCAGGCAGGGATTGAGAAAAGTGGGTTGGGGGCTTGTTTGCTATCTGTCCTCTCTGTCCTCCATGACCCATCATTTACCCCACGGGCTTGCACTTCGGCCTTGAAGCTGCTCAGTTTTTGGTCAGCGATGCGCCCAGCCACCATGATCTCCGAGCCATCGTAGTACTGTTTATGTCGGTGCTGGGTCAGGGCAGAGATGGTATCCCGGGGGTACTGCAACTCCACATCCACCAGCAGGGGACTGGCCACCTGGTCGTAGAAGTTCTGCAGGGACAGGGGGTGCAACCTAAGAGCTGAGCACCATGGGTACCTGATGGGAAATCTAATCACCAAGTAGGGTGTCAGGATCCCCTCTTCAGAGGAGGAATCTGAGGCTCAAAGAGGTTAAGCAACTGGCTTGCTGTCACACAGCTAATTTGAACTCTGTATCAGAGCTGTATCTTTTCCTCTAGGCTGATGGGCAAATGGCCACAAAGGCAGGGCTCTTTGTGGCATGCTGGTGGTGGTATATGGCGGGTGCAGGGGAGACCTGTAGCTGCTGAGTGGCATCATGGTCCTCATAGATTCTCTTGGCCCATCCATTGTTCTCCTTGGACATGACCTCCAGGAAGTTAAAGTCCAGGTTGTGGCCAAAGCCCAGGTTATAGAGTGGGAACTTGTCCCGGATGGCTTCACGGACGTTCTTGAGGATTTGGGGACGGTCCGTCACTCCTGTAACCACACATCCAGGCTGTTATGAGATTGCTGGCCCACAGCATGTGGGGTGCTAGGAGGCTTTGGGGAACACTCCCAGGGGTCCACAGCTTCATCTTAGGTCACCTCCAATCTCCATGGGCATCTAGAGATATCACCTCCTCCCGGCTCTCATGGCAACTGCAATAACTAGTAATGGCGCTCCTCACAGACCCTTGCCAACCACATGGATCCATCCAAGCAGATCTCATGCTGCTTGAAACCTTCCCAGGTCTCCTGGTGTGGCCTCTGAGGCCCTGACAACTTTCCACTATGTGTCACCTGTTCTGCACAGTTTGGGGGCAGGCCCTGCCAGTGCATACACCTTCCCCCCCACCTCAGGTTGCCCACTCTGCCAGGGATCCCTTCCTACTTCCCTCTCTCTCTTCCTTCCATACTGAGCTCAGGATTCACCTCTTCTAGGAGGCCTTTCCACGCCTCACTTAGCCCAGGTACTCCTTTGTCTGTGTTTTCACAGACCCCTGTCACCCTGTCTTTCTGCTAAGGGCCCTTAGCAGAACCTCTGCCCTTGGATCTGCCCCCAGTAGTGGAACAAGAGTCATTTTTTTTGTTCTCTTGGTAGGCCTTACTCCCTCATCTTGGGCTTGTCATACAATAGATGCTGAATATATTAAATATATTAAATTATTAATTCCAGCCCAGGCATGATGGTGCATGCCAGTAATCCCAGCAACTGGGGAAGCTAAGGTAGGAGGATCACAAGTTTGAGGTCAACTCAGCAATTTAGTAACTTAGAGAGACCCTAAATCAAAATAAAAAAATAAAAATAAAAAGGGCTGAGGATGTAGCTCAGTGGTAAAAGCACCCCTGGGTTCAATCCCTGGTATATACATATATGTATGTATACACACACATGCACATATCTGTATGTATGTATATATATATATATATATATATATATATATATTCCATTAAGCTCGATCTAGGAATTCTGCCTATCCCCCAGGGCCCATGTCATGCAGAAATACCCCCAACTCACAGGACAGAGGTACACCTTGAAGTTCTCATAGACTTTGTGGTCTTAATTATATTTTCAGGATGATCCTTGCCTTTACCCCGAAACTTTGTGTCCCCAATGGCCCATCCAGTGTTTGTGTTTCCAATATCAGCTTGAATACCTCCAGTAAGCTTACCCTCAGTGGGCTCCCCATCTGTCAACATGATGAGAATCGAAGCCTGATTACTGACTTCAGGGCGGTTTCCCTGAACTGCATTCAGGATCTCAATTCCCCGGAGCAAACCTCCATTCAGGTTTGTGGCTATAAAAGGAGAGAAATCAGACCAGTGTACACTCATATCCCAAAGAAACAGAAGTAATGCCCAGGTGGCCTGGGATTCCCATCCTTACCCCCCTCCACGGAGAAGTGCTTCACGAAGTCTCGAGCAGCTTGAAGATTGGCCTCTGACGCTTGCACCAGTGAGCCCCGCCATGATTGCACTTGAGACCCAAAGAGGACCAGGTCAAAGTAATCCTGTGGCCGCATATCTCCCAGGATTTTCAGGAGTGCCTCCTTGGTCTGCAAGGACAGGACATTCCATTGAGGAACACAGCCCCAGGGTGGCCTCAGGATAGCACCTTCCATCAACTCCAGATAGCCATGTCAGAGATCCACAGGATGGAGACACACAGTGGATGGGTAGGAGGGGATGAACAGGACAGCCAGGTCATCCTAAGAGAAGAGCATAAAGGGCATGGAGAAGTCAAAAGACCCAGCACAGAGTCAAGGAATGATCAGGAGTTTGGATGGGGCAGGATTAAGAAAGGTCCCCCTGTGTTTTGGCTGTATTTCTAAAACTCAGTTTGTCCAGCCACAGCTTCACTGTGTCACGGGTGGGACACTCAGAGCACCGAGGGCTGTGGGCTGTGCCCTGCTGCAAGATGCCCTCTTGCAGACCAAGTGTGGTGGCCCACATCTATAATTCCAGTGGCTCAGAAGGCTGATGCAGAAGGATCAAGAATTCAAAGCTAGCCTTAGCAAAAGGGAGACCCTAAGCAACTCAGTGAGACCCTGTCTCTAAAATACAAAATAGGGCTGGGGATGAGGCTGAGTGGAAGAGTGCCTCCAAGTTCAATTCCCGGTACCAAAAAAAAAAAAAAAAGATGCCCTCTTGCAGACCACCTTAGTTATTGCCAGAACTTGTAGCAAACAGGTTTGCTCTTCCATGCTCATCTCCATGGGGAAGTGCCATAATGCGACACCATATTATCCTCCTTGTAGCCATTGAGAAGTGCCTGACCAAGGTTGCCCAGCAAGGAAGCAGTAGCTAATGCTACAGTCCCTAACAACTGGGATTTCCAGTTCAATCACCCAAACCAGAATCTCTCAGCCAAACTGCAATGGGGTAAGTAACAGGGCCGAAGAAATTTCCATTGAATGAACTGCTTCGAGCCACTTTACCTGCTTCATTTTCTGACCTTCCATAGAGCCACTGATGTCAATCACAAAAACGATGTTCTTGCTCATGTTCGTCAGGTTTTTGGGGGCAAAGAAGTGGGCAAAGTAGTTATTGGCCACCTGAAATAGAGGAAAGTGACTGAATCCTCTCTCATAAGCATCCCTTGCCCACCCTCTGGGGCTGGGGCCAGAAGTTTCAGGCTCACCAATAGGTCACAGAGCTTGTCTCGATTGACATCGTAGGTGACCTTGAAATCCCCATTCAGCAAGGATGTAGAGCATGTAGGGCAGGATTGCTGTTGGCCCACGGTGGGGCGGAAGAGCACATGACCCTGGAATCATTGAGGGTTTGAGACATTACTAGTCTGTGCACACAAGTAGGAAGATGTGCACCTCTCTGCGTGTGTATGTATGTGCGTGTGTGTGTGTGTGTGTGTGTGTGTTTGCCTGGTCACAGAAACTAATTCAGTGGGCCATTCACGTAGCTGCTGAAAGTGCACATCTGTATGTGATAGGAGAGAAGACTCAGTCCTCTGTGCTTCTCAGTCACTGGAATTTTCTACGGTAAGCATCACCATTTGGGGTACATAAGCAAGAACCAAATAATAGCAGTAGGAAGGAATGAGAAAACCTCAGTCAACTTCAACTATCAAGTAAAAAAGCAAGGCTACAGCACATTGCTCACAAATAAAATCCGCCTGGTCAACAAAGAGCAGGAAACAGAAGGAAAGGCCCAGAAACAGAGCTGAGGTCAGGTTTGAGTGGTGCTGGTCCTCGAGGACACTAGGGATGGTTTTTATTCACTACTTTCTATATTTGTGTATTTTCCTCATTCTCTTTAAAGAAATTTTATTGTTTTCTTCTTGCTTGCTTGTTTTAAAAGTAAGATATGCTCATCACAAACAAAATCAAAACAAACAAACAAAACAAAACAAAACAAAGACAAAAAAACAAACTTGAAGAAGGGTGCGGTGACATGTGTCTATAATCTCGGTGACTCAGGAGGCTGAGGCTGGAGGATCTTGCCAACTTCAGCAACTTAGCGAGGCCCTAAGCAACTTAGTGAGACCCTGTCTCTAAAGAAAATATAAAAAGGGCTGGGGATATGGCTCAGTGGTTGAGCACCCCTGAGTTCAACTTCTGGTGAGAGAGAGAGAGAGAGGGAGGAAAACTGAAGCCTTGAGTCCTAACCACAACCGTACCTGACCTGAGATTGGCTTCTGTGTGGAACATCTCTCTAAATGCTGTGTGTGAGGCAGGCAAAGAGGAAACTGAGGTTCAAGCAACTCCCCCTGCCCAGACCATGCAGCCAGCAAGTGGTAGAGCTGGACTTGGTACCTGCCTCACCTCAGGGTGCCGGTTTTGCTAAATTGTTCTAAGGATCGGGAGTGATGAGTTTCCCTGGGATTCCAACCACATGGCATCTGCTCCTCTCACCCCGAGGGAAGCCTGAATCCCTACCTGCTTCCTGTGCTAAACCTAGACCTGCCTCATGGATGGGTCAGGCTGCCAAGTCCTTGGGGACCCACCACCATCCCCTGTCATTCCATGTACCTTTTTCCCTGAGAAGGACTTCTTGATAGTTTGGGCTGCCAGTTCCTTGGTGAGGAAGGTGGCCTGAGCATCCAGCTTACTGATCCCCTGAGGCTCAAAGATGTCCACGTCAATCTGCACCATTGAAGGAAATTCTGTACCAAGGCCCCGTTTGGGACAGCAAAGAGCCTAAATGTCTCAGCCAAGAGCCTAAATGTGACCTGGATACCTACTGTGTATAGTGCCCATGCAGTTCTCAGCACAGGGCCTGGCACATAGTAGGCACTCCAAAAATGTTTATTCAATGAAGATGTGCATGTCTGAAACCCCTCAACTCAGCCCATTGGGCTTCCCAGGACTTTCTGGTTTACAAATTACCTGGAAATTCAGTGTCTCTTGTGATCCTTGTGGTATTCCTGGGGAATGCAGGAATTCCCCATTTAGCAGATGGGCAAACCGAGGCTCAGAGATGAGGAGGGAGTTGGAAGATTCAGAGAGTTTTCTGCCCAAGAACAGCCCATTGCAACCCACCTGGAGGATCAATTCCCTCCCTGTGTTCCCAGGCCTAGGGTGGCATGTGATTCATGCTGAGCCAGTGCTGGGAACCATAGTGAGAGTGAGAGACAGAAGCCCTGCCCCGGGACTTTCAATCTACCTCAAAATGGCGCACCAGTTGCTTGGGCTTGACTTTGATGACAATGTCATACTGTGTAAGTCTTCTCTTCAGCACCTCCTCGTAGGTCAGCCGAAATGTGGCCTTGCTCTGGGGACCAATGTTGATGTGGATAGTGAACTGCTCCATATTCCTCCCTGAGGCCCTGGATATGCCACCAGAGGCAACAATCATCAAACAAATAGTAAATGACATGTAGATCCTTGTCACCTAAAGCATGGCCCTCAGAATCAATTTCTTATTTTCATGCTTGTTCCCAGATTTCCTTGACCCTTACCCTTGTCTCAGATGGCTGGTCAGGATTAGGGCTCAGGGATGGGGGGACCCACTTCTCCCTGAAGCAGATCTGGGAAAAGGGCAAGTGGGCATCAACCTGGCCCAGTGCATCTGTGTTGGCACCAGAGCTGGGCAGTTTGCTTCCCTTTCTACTATCCTGGGGCTCTTCTCCACCCAAGGCCACCTCTGCAGCCTTCAGCTCTAGAGGCTAGGCCGGGAGGGCTCAGAACTCACCTGACGAGGCCAGCATTCTCTCCTGAGATGGCTGCTTTCCGGTACTGCTTCCATGCTGTCACTTTGTCCTTTATGTCCCCAATGAATGCCTTCCCATCTGCTGTGCTGCGGGGGGAGAAGAAGGCCCTCAGTGGGGGAAGCACCCCTCCTTGATCACATGGATTCTTCCTAATAGAGATATGATGAGCCTAGACACGGAGAAGCCTCTGTTCTCCTATGAGCCCTCATAGGAGAGTATCTCCTGACTGGCCTTGCAATGCTCTGGGGACCCAGGGCAGTGCAGTGGGCAGCCATGGTCACAGAGGCCAGCTGTGGGCCTTTTGAAAGGGAGCAGATGATCTACACATCTGGCTACTGTGGCCTAGGCTGGGACAGGTGAACAGACACCTTTGGGACAGGGTGTGGGAGTCAAGGCAGCCACACACATGGCAAAGTCACTGATGAAGGCTGTCTTGGGGATTTCCACATCGAAGGCCACTTCCCTGGCTTCATCGGCAGTGTTGATCACTTGGCTGGTGATGACATAGTGGGCGAAACGAGAGGTGACTTTGCAGTTGACTTTCAAACTCCGGATGAACACGCCATCAACTGTCTAAAGTGAGACAAGAGGGACCTTTGGCCTGGGACAGGCCAGTGAGAGACCTCCTTGTCATTCTGTGTCCTAGCCCCCAGCTTTGATGCTTGAAAGGTGCCCAGAAGAATAGATCAACCCTCCCAGGAAGATCCTTTTTTCTGCCTGAGACTGTACAGTGGGGCGTGAGGTGAGGTGGGAACAATCCCCCAATTCCTGGGACACGGGAGCATATGGCACCCACAGAAGGAGTCCACCCGCAAGGGGCAGGAGAAAGCAAACCTGTAATAAGGGCCCCATCACAGACCCCTTTGCCAAGACTCTCACTCACTGTGTCCACAGCCTGTCGCTTCTGCAAAACAAAGCCAAGGCCAAGTATGAGTGGGAATGCTCGGGGACCATGGCCCCTCTGTTCAGGGGTGGGAGGGGACAAAGCCTGGGTCCTCTCTCAGTCTTGCCTCCTACTGCTAGGAAGTAACCTCTGTAGTCAGAGGTATGCAGGCAGTGGGGATGGCTCTGGTACCTAGAGTGGGGGTTCTTGTGTCCCTCCTCTGTCCCAAAGGCTTAGCCACATACCTCGCTGCCCTTGGACCTGCCTCTGGCCAAGCCTGGAGCAGACATGGCCTGTAGGGTGAGGAGGGACACCAGGTACACACACAGCAGCACCCGAAGCGCCATGGCACCGTCCATGGTCTCCAAGTTCCTGTTGCCCTGATACTTCACTCAGACCATCAATCAATACCATGCTGGATAAACACGGATTAAACATTAAACACAGTGAAGGCAAATGTCCCAATTTGGGGAACCAATAATTGGCAAGGAAACCAGGGGTTCCCAGTTCTGGGCTTATGTCAACTCCTGACCAGACTCCAGACTGTGCCCTTGTGTACAGAACAGCACTAAGCCAAAGGCAACTGCCAAGACCCCTCAGTGGTTCATCTTATCCTGGCTCTGGCATGAGGTAGCATCAGTGACAAACATCTGGCAGGAAGTCAATGTTAAAAATGGATTTCCAAACCTCATTAGGCTTTTTTTGTGAGGTGGGGTGGGTTTCAGGGATTGAACTCAGGGGCACTTGACCACTAAGCCACATCCCCAGCCCCAATTTGTATTTTATTTAGAGACAGGGTCTCACTGAGTTGCTTAGTGCCTCCCTTTTGCTGAGGCTGGCTTTGAACTTGTGATCCTCCTGCCTCAGCGCCCTGAGCTGCTGGGACTACAGGTGTGTGCCACCGCCAGGCCAAATCTCATTAAGCTTTAGTTTCAGAATTCTTGAAGCATCAGCAAACCTTTCAGTCATGCTTTGGTCAGGGAGGCAGATATGGTGGCTTAGAAAGTGCTGTGACACCTAAGCACATCCACAGTTCTAATGGTGCCAGCCCTGACAATAGACCTGCCAGAGGCCTTCTGGACAGTCTGGCAGGAGGAGTGATAGGTGACCTATGCTTTAAGCCCGTTCCCTCATCTGTTGGGACCTTCTGGTCTAGATTTGGAAGGAAGGACATAAGTCAGCTTCATTGTGCTCCACCTAGACAAGGATGCTCAGCAGGTGACAGGGAATAAAGACAAATGAAGCATTTTTATATTCAAGAGCTGATTAGGTACCCCATGTTGCTCTTAGCCCTTTATTGCCTAATTTTTCTCCTCAAGGTGCTTCTGGAACATTGATTTCACTGCAAGCGACAGAACAAGGATTCAAACTCAGGTCTCTCTGACTCCAAAGCTATCACTGAAAGGCCCTGTGTGTTATGAGGAAGAAAAGAGAGGCAGAAAAAAAAAAAGAGAGAGGCAGAGTCAGAGATCCCTCAGAGGGAAGAGTCCCCAGACACTCCTTATGCACAGGCAGTTTCTTGATTTTTATACCCAGACCTTTCCTGCCGGCCACAAGCCACAGCTCACCAGGTAGACAGGGCCCCTGGTTAGTCTACTCTGTGACCCAGGGTGGGGTGTTCTGGCTGTCACGACCCTGATGAAAACAGGGGGCCCAGAGGCCTCTCTGATCTCTGTTTGCTCATCCTGGACTTTGTCTCAAAGAGCAGCTTCTGGGAAAGAGTTTATTGTCCTTAGGCCAGGTGACCTTCTGACCTGTTTTCTGGCCTCTGTGGAAGATTAGATGAATCAACATGATATGGTATATTTGAGTGTCTGTTTATTTTCTGTACCAGTATGAACTGAGCTGGAGGTGGTGGGTTGGTACCATGCTAGTTAGTTTCACCATGATGAAACTGGGCTGGGTCCCTGTGTTCAGTGAGCTGGTGCCTTGGGAAAATGGAGTGGGTCAAACCAAAGGAAACCCAGTGGATCCCAGGGAGTAGCTGGAGGCTAGAGAGGCACATATAGGAAAAACTGTAGAAATTTGAAGGAGTGGACCTCATCTCCACAGTGGTTAGGAGAAGGCTCCCAGAGGAGGTGGCTCGGAAAATGAGTAGCACTTGGGAAGGTGCAGGCAGGAAAAAGTGAACCAGGAACAACTGGTATAAGGGTCTGATGGCTTTCGGGTAGAAAACACTAAAGCTATTTTGATTATAGAAATATTGACATGAGGAGGTTGGGGTTGTGGCTCAGCAGTAGAGCGCTCGCCTAGCATGTGTGAGGCCCTGGGTTCGATCCTCAGAACCACATAAAAATAAATAAACAAAATAAAGGTATATAAAAAAAAAAGAAAGAAATACTGACATGAGCCGGTTGCGGTGGCGCATACCTATAATCCCAGTGGCTCAGGAGCCTGAGGCAGGAGAAATGCAAGTTCAAGGCCAGCCTCAGCAACTTAGTGAGGCCCTAAGCAACTTAACGAGACCCTGTCTCTAAATAAAATATAAAAAAGCGCTGGGGTTAGTGCTTAGCTGTAGAGCACTCACCTCGCATGTGCAAGGCCCTGGGTTCGATCCTCAGCACCACATGTAAATAAATAAAATAAAGTTATTAAAAAAAAAAGCCGGGGATGTGGGTCAATGGTTAAGCACCCTTGGGTTCAATCCCTGGTACCAAAAAAAAAAAAAAAAAAGAAAAAGAAAAAAGTAATACAACATGGAATAATTGTTTTTTAATTTTTATTTTTTTGAGTTGTAGTTGGACACAAAACCTTTATTTTCTTTTTATGTGGTGCTGAGAATCAAACCCAGGGCCTTGCATGTGCTAGGCGAGTGCTTTGCCACTGAGCCACAACCCCAGCCCCTAAATTTTGACATAAAAAAAAAAAAAGATATTTTGAGGAGGGGTATGACAAGTTCAAGACTGGACTGTTGATGGGTGAGAGCTGTAGTGTAAGTGCCTGTAGACCAGGCTTCTACAAGCAGCTGGAGGGATGGGAGGTGGGGATCATTTGGGCCCAGGAGTTGGATGCTGGGCCTGGCCACACAGGGAGATTCCACTCAAAAAAAAAAAAAAGGAAGAGTGTGGATTGTTGAAAGATGGCTAGTACAAACCTGGTCCATGGATGAAAGGTGCTAGAAGCATGATTATGTGGCCACGGTGGGAGCAGTGCGAAGAAGGGGATGAGGAGAGCTAACGGTGACTGGTGTCTAGTGTGCTACTCAGTCTCCCTCTCTCTCTCATTTTTAAAATTTTTCTCATATTGGGGATTGAACCTGAGGATGCTTAACCACTGAGTCACAACCTTAGCCCTTTTAAAAAATATATATTTTATTTAGAGACAGGGTCTTTTTGAGTTGCTAAGGCATCACTAAGTTGCTGAGGCCGGCTTTGAACTTGCGCTTCTCCACCTCAGTCTCCTGAGCAGCTAGGATTACAGGCATGCATACCGCGCCTGGCATGGACAATGCATTCAGATGTTTTGAGCTTCTTAACTCCTTAGAAACTCAGTTAAAATAGGGATGATAATAGTACCAGCTTCATGGTGTTGATGGAAAGATATATGAGCTAATTCACTTGATGTCAAAATAAACCCCTCCCTACAAAGCTAATTATTTGCTCATCCTATGACCCAGCAACTCCATTCCCACATATTTACCCAGTGTATTCTCAAAAAGACACCAATGTTCATAAAATCTTTATTTATGATAATCCAAAGGGGAAAGAACACAAATACCCATTAACAAGTAAGTAGATAAACAAATTGCAAGGTACTTGTGTAATTACAATATTCTTTGGCAATAAAAAGGAACAAATTATTGGGGCTAGAGTTGTGGCTCAGTGGTAGAGCCACAACTTGCCTAGCACATGTGAGGCCCTGGGTTCAATCCTCAGCACCATATAAAAATAAAAAATAAAATAAAATAAATGTATTGTGTCCATCTACAACTAAAAAATAAATATTTTTTAAAAAGGAACAAGTTATTGATAGAAATGACAGAAATGAATTTCATAGATATTGTACTGAATGAACAACCAGATGCAAAAGAGTATGTAAAGTATAATTTAGGGCTGGTGTGGTGGCTCAGTAATAGAACGTTTGTCTAGCATGTGTGAGGCACTTGGTTCAATACTCAGCACCACATAAAAATTTTAAAAAATAGGGCTGGGGTTGTGGCCAGCTGTAGAGCGTTCGCCTAGCACCCCTGGGTTCGATCCTCAGCATCACATAAAAATAAATTATAAAGGTATTGTGCTCAACTATAAAAAAATTTTTTTAATTAAAAAAAATAAAATAAAGGTATTGTGTTCATCTGCAACTAAATTATTTTTTAAAAAGTATTAATTTGGGGCTGGGTTGTGGCCCAGAGGGTAGGTCGCTTACCTACCATGCGTGAGGCACTGGGTTCGATCCTCAGCACCACATAAAAATAAAATATTGTGCCCACCTATAACTAAAAAATAAATATTTAAAAAAATTCATGGCAGGGGAGTGATTAGAAAACGCAGTCTGAAAAGGCTCTTCAGGAATGTGATAATGAAGTAAAGGTTGAAAACACTGCTGTAGCTCTTTCTTGAAACTTAAAAAAAATTTAACATTTTCACCATTTTTAAGTGCACAACTTAGTGACCTATTATATTCACATTGTTGTGGGACCATCACCACCGTCCATCTCTGGATGTTTTTCATTCTCCTCAAATGAAGTTTTGTATCCATTAAACACTAACTCCCAATTCGCCCCTCCCCAACCACTGACACCATTCTACTTCCTGTGTCTCTATGAATTTGCCTACTCTAGATACCTCACACAAGTCACATTGGTCGCTACCTTGTTTCCCTTAGCATAATGTCCTCAAGGTCCAGCCATGTTGCAGCATGTCAGTTTCCTTCCTTTAATTAGGCTTAATAATATTCCAATATCTGTATACAGATATTGCTTATCCAACATCCAAATATGAGTACTTAGATTGCTTCCAGTTTTTGGCTGTTGTGAATAATGTCGCTATGAACATGGGTGTTCATTTATTTATTTGAGTCCCTACTGTCAGTTTTGTCAGTGCGCTAGCGCTCCCGGCTTCTTTTGGTTTATATCTTGATAGAGTTTGGTGAAGGGATTTGTCAACATTATCTAATTATACGTTTAAGATTTGCATATTTCGCTGGGCATGGTGGCGCCTGCCTGTAATCCCAGCAGCTCAGGAGGTTGAGGCAGGAGGATCGCAAGTTCAAAGCCAGCCTCAGCAAAGGCGAGGTGCTGAGCAACTCAGTGAGACCCTGTCTCTAAATAAAGTACAAAATAGGGCTGGGGATGTGGCTCAGTGGTCGAGTGCCCCTGAGTTCAATCCCCAGTACCCAAAACAAACAAACATATTTCATCCACAATGCAAATTTCGTTTCCACAAGAAAACCA